GGACTAACGCCCTGTTCATTGTAATTTTAATTGTTATGAACCAATGCTTAGTGATTGTAATGACAATACACATGATATGGTAGTGTAATTCATAAAAGTACTACACATTCTTGCACAACAATTAAAATCCCTTTACATAGGGGGACATTCCAAATGTTAATTCTAACATAAAGAATCTTAGAATTCCAAATGTTAAGTCTAATACTAATGAATATGTGGAGTGCCCTTTGTAAGAGCAGAAGTTCAGTTGTTATGCAATGTATAGTTATTCTAATTCTAGCTACTGGTACGTATTCCAAACTTTATCTGTTTTTTTTAGTTCTAGTAGATAAGAAATACTATGTACTTCTACTTGAGAATGTACTTTTTGATCATCAACAGCAAACAAGTAGACTTGAGATTTTGACCAGCGGATATCTGCAATGCTGATGACTGGTGACATGATTGATTCTCCTTGCTAGGCTTGATGTTGTTCTGTCACATATCACCAGTGTTACAAGAGCCCTGTTAAGCAACATAAGAAGAGACCTTGTTCATCCTGCTGGTGATCACTTCCACTGGAATTCACTGCTTTCAAGACAACTTTTGCAACAAATATCTTTTGTGCTAATGGTTGTTTACTCTAGTGGCTGTGTGGTTAGTACCAACCTGCTGAACTAGTCGTAAGGGGATTATGTGAGAGTTGCTTCTCCATATCATACAATATTGTATCGTATACTAGGCTTGGCAGAGAAATTCCTTCCAAACCATACACGAATATTGATATGTTCCACTACTAGGATCCCCCAACTCCCCCCTATGGTTAGAAACCTCTTTAGAATGGCTTTTGATTCATGTGCCTATCATACTTGTTAAGGGGCCGTTAGGGACCAAGTTATAGCTGTTCAAGTGAGTTGACCCTTAGTTAACTCTCTATGTGTATTTTGTACAGTGCATCATTTTGGGCCATCCGATACCAGTGTAATGACTCATGGAATTGAAAACTTTATTTGTACTGTGGCTAGAGTTTGCACGTAGGAGCAAAACTATTTGGTTGCAAGACTGAAACCATTTGGTCACACAGCTAGTGGGATTCAAAAATTAAAGTACTGAGCAAGTGCATTTTTTATGTATTTAGTTTTTTAGTCACAGTAGTCATTACACAGAATAATAAGGGCCCAAAATCTACAACTGGTGCGTACATTTGCTAGCCAAGCCTACTAGCTTTGGCATTTTTTAAAAACCATGACTGTATATGATTGTATTTTACTTTGTTAAATTTTGATATCCAGCCCTGTGGTCCTTGTAATAATCAACAACCCTTAAAACCCCCCAAGAACCATATTCCTCTTTTTAATGGCTTTTGATTCATGTGCAACCTATCATTCTTGATCATTTGTTGGGGACCAAGATAGCTGTTGGGGCAAGCTGGACCTCAGTTAGTTTTCTATGCATTTTTGTACGGTGAATGGATTTTTAGCCATCTTTTTTTGTGTAATGACTCAAGAGATTAAAAATTTGGACTTGTACTACCAGTATAGCAATAGCATGTGTTGAACAAAAAGTTAGCCAGTGCGGAGCATGTGTATGCAAAATTATTTGGTTGTATGACTGGTGGGATTGAAAAATTCAACAACACTACTGAGCATGTGCATTTTGTAAATATCTAGTTTTTTAGTCAAACTATTCATTACATGCAAAAATAAGGGCCCAAAATCTATAAGTGTATTATAGATTTAAATGCCAGCTCTGTAAAATAACGGTGGGCAACCAACAAAAGCAATGCAGTAAAGAACTGTGCTGATTACTATGACAGGTTGTGCAACATGAACAGAAAAAATGTCTTTGTCTGACGATGTTTTCTGGTTTCCAAGATAAACAATATTAGATCTAGCTATCTTTTTCTAAGTTTTGGTAACAGTACCACTTTTTTGTTTATATGATACATCAAGATATATTTGCAACTTGGCAATTTCAAAACACACAGAGAGAATCATATGAATGGGAATGCAGCCTTGGTGTCAATTGAACACTACTAGAGTTCACTGCTGACAAGTCACAAATTAAGTCTTCAATTATCAAATTCAAGTTATCATCACTCTGTATGCACTACTTCTATACCTAGTAGTACTGAGGAAGAAAATTACTACCTGCACTTTAATAACAACTAGGCATGACAAAATTAGATAGAAACTTACTGGTTTGACAATAAATCAGTCTCATACTACTACTAATAGGAATAAATATAGTAACAGAAGTGCCTCTCATCATTCAAACCAAAGATTCCAAGCTTGTCACTCAATTTTCCTTTGGTTTGTTGTCACCAAAGCCTTGAGGGAAGGCTTTTAGTTAGTTCAATGTGTTGTAAATTATTGCTCATAATTAAATCTAATTTTGGGTGGATTCAATTCAACACATATTTAATTTAAAATTGAATTAAGTGATATTATTATTTAGTGTTTATTTGTGAATTAAAATAATTTCACAGATCCTTGTAGTTTCTAGTACTAGTACTATGCACCCTCCACCAAAGAACTACTAGTATTTGCAGTAGCCATGATCATTGCCAAATAATAGTAGCTGTAAATTCCAGCAGTAGAACTTGATCTACTAGGAAGGATACTGGGCCCTCCATTAACTTTTTATGAAAACAGTTGCCAACCAAGGTCAGGGTTTCCCACATGTTTTCTCCATGTCTAAAGAAGAAAGAGAAACATCAAGAAATTAAGAAAAAGAAGGAAAGGCAATATTATCTTTGTTTCTCATTGTAAGAATGGGAAATGCCCCCCTCATTTCACCATGTAAAAAGAAAGATAATAGTGCCCTGGTTATATTCTCTCTTCTTCAGCAAAGAGTAACAGTGCAATCATTGCCCAGGAAATATTCTCTATGTTTTTTCTTATTTAAACAATGGGAGACAAGGAGAGACTATATTCTCTTAGTTTCTCTTTGTTGTATTAAGAAAAAACAATGAGAATATTGCCAAACATTCAGTACTATTGCAATAGGATTGTTCTCATGCTCTGTTTGACCAAGAGTTGCAAGGTTGAATCAATCTTGAACGCATGCATTCTTGAAACAAAAGGCATAGTGGCACCCTACTAGAAACTATGGATCCTAGTAGTAGTACTACTACTAGTAGTAGTGGTACTTGTGCTTTAGAAAAATAACAACAGCACTACTTTTTGGTATGACTACTAGTGCAAAACTGGTAACAGTCTACAAAACAAATTCCAAACTAAAATAGTAGCAGTAATGACAAAGAACTACAACACTTATTACAGTTTCTTTGTTCTTGTCCATACTAGTACATAGTTTTAATCTCTGCCAACAATGCTACAACAACATTGCCAGTGTGCAAAAGTTCACAAACCTCCTACCATAATGACAAAGAATAAGTTTTTGTCTCTACTTCATTTTAGGCATACACACATACTGGTGATAGTAGTATGATTAATAGTTGCAAATAGTAGGTCAACTACTACCAGTAGCACTACTAATAGTGGTATTATAGTATTAGTAGGTTTAGCTTACAATTAATTTAAAGTCTCAGCAGATTGTTGCTGTATCTATTGATAGTATGATCATGTCATACAGTACAGTCTCAGCAGATTGTTGCTGTATCCATTGATAGTATGATCATGTCATACAGTACAGGGAAAAACCTGAATCAATCAAGGACAAAAGCAGGGTAAAAATGCTAACAAAAAGCACATAGTGATGAAACACAACCCCCTCAATTCCAGCATTTGAACCAGCACATAAATTGAAGTTGTTCCACTGGGTTGTCGCAAGGTGACCTGAGACATGAAGGACACATTTTGCAATGCCCTACAGGTTGCACACAAGGTTGTTTGCTTAAATATCTCTGAGGGTTCCAATAGAGTTACAGTATCAGCTGTGTGATGGGCAGTGAATAGCCTGCTAGCTGCTGTTTTTGTTGCATTATTGTTGCATCAAATGTGGGATGCAGATTTTGGAGCGGTATCCACATTTGGAGCTTTATTTTGTGCATCCATTACTGTACTTCCAAGTTGGGGATGCTGTTTTAGCAGCATCCTTGGTTAGATTTTGAGCAGGATCAAGAGCAGTGTATGCATTTGGAGCAATGGTTTCATCTGCTGATACTCAATGTCCTGGGGGATTTCTATTCCTATTAGTCCTATCTGCAGCAGCAGCAATTTGGCAATAGCTCTCCTTGGGACAATAGTTTCCCTAGCGGCACCAGAGGAGGCAATGATCCTCTTGACAGTGGCAATCTCCAACTATTTTTCATCCTGGGTCTGAAGCCTATCAGTCTTCTCAGATCTGATACTATAAACCTTCACTCACAGCCACTTGAACTGGCTTCATCCCAGTCCAGTAGTAGTAGTGTCTGGTCACAGATATATAATGCTAGCAACAAAAATGAAACTTGCTCTCAAATGTTCTAAATGGGTCATTCCTGTAAACATAAAATTTATGCTGACATACTTTGCATCTATGACTCAACCCGAATGAGCATATAAAAACATAGAATCATAGATATTGAATTATGGCGCACTACATGTGCTTGATTTTGGAATATGGAATTTTGCTTGCAATTAACAGAAAATAATCAGTGACACTTTAGATATGTTTTGGAGCACAAATTTGGGCTCCCCCAGGTCATGACTTGAGAATTTTTGAATCCACGAATCCAAAAAAAGTATGTGTGTGCATACATGCTTTTGGTTACCATGAGCCTGCGACAACCAATATCTATGTATTTGTGTCAAAAAAACACATACTTCTATGTGTGCATGTCTGAAGTCTAATTCAATTCTTAATAAATCAATGTTTATAGGAATGACCCAATAGTGTATCCATTTTCCTCCCAACACAAACAACACTTTCATGCCATTGTTCTACTATTCCCACTTCTTGAATCCCATAAGGTGTGTAAATTTGCCAAATAATCTTGAAATTCATTACAAAGGATGACACAGTATGACGCAGCACACTATAATCTATTACAACGTGATTTCGTTCAAGTAAACAATATGTAATTTCAATTTATATTCCAGGAACTAACAACGCAAAAAATGCCCGATGCCAGGTTGGAATCATCATGTTCGCGTAAGTCCCAATTGTATGCTACAGTGACGTGGCCTGGTTAAAAAATTGGTAATTAAAACAAAGTTTGTTGAGTTTTCTCTTCGCGAAGCGTGAAAATGGTTCAGTCAACAGGATCTTTTTGTAGAAAGATTCACAACATTCTAATTCAATTTTTCATCCGGTAGCTTTTAGTCTTCATTTAGTGAAGACATCGAATTTTCGTTCGCATCCTTTGGGTCCTTCTCGTCTGAAAGAGAACTATTATTGAATTTTGCGGTTTGCTTGTCTTTATCCTTGTCCTTATTATTGCCAATCATGCCCATAAGCTTCAACTGTTTCGAAATAAGTTGAAATTTGAGAATGCTCTTATTCTTTTTTGCTTTTGTGTCTTCAGCATCTTCGTCATCCTTATTCGAGCTGTTTGAATCTTTGCCCAGTCTCAAATCATCCAGTAAACTGTGAAGACCTACTGTTTGCTCGCGAGAGCTCGCAAGAGGAGCAACAAATGCGTCCTCCGTTTCGCTTGGAGATGAACTACTATCATCATCGTCAGAATTCATCTTCTTGTGGAGCATACTTAGCGCGTTTCTCCCTGCGGAGGATTTGAGTAAGTCCCAATGCGCATTCTGTTTCCCATTAGAAGCCGGCGATTTACCAGATGTTACATCAACTTTGAGTGAACTCGACGAATCATTATTTCCAGACAATTTTTGATCCGATCCGATTCTCAGGAGTGCATCTTTCCCTCCGGAGGATTTGAGCAAGTTCCAGTGTGCATTCTGCTTTCCGCTGGATCCTTGCTCTCCTTTCAGAAGGCTGCCTGCACCAGAATTACGACGTTTGGATGACGATAAATCAGCTCCGAATGAACTTGAGGAATCATTGTTTCCAGAGAGTTTTTGATCTGATCCCAGCCTTTGCATTCCCTCTCTTCCTGAAGAACTACGATTTACTTCCCACTGTGAGTTCCTATGTTTTCTAATTGATTCAGATGTTCGTTTGGACCTTAACCTGGACGCCGATGTCGACGGTCGTGATCTCGATAACCCAGCACCCGGAGAGACTTGATCATCATTCATTCTTGATGACATGTTGTTTCTTGGTCCTCTATGCATGCTACTAGTGCGCATCGTCCTTCTGGTACTCTTCATGCCGTGACCACTGGAATTCCTCAATCCGTGGACACCGGACGAGTGCAAATCACTTTGACGGGAAGTCATGCGGCGACCACCCTGTCTCCTGTGATAGCTTGTGGAATCTAGACCTGTTTTGTCCGACCTTTTTCTCGACGCTCTAAGATCAGATGAGCTATCTTCCAAAAATGGCTTCAGTTTTTCGAATTTGTTTTCGTTCAAGATCCTCAACAACAGCGGCTTCATTAGCATTGAAGAACGGCTCCTTTCAACTAATTTCACAAACTCAATGATATCGCTGTCATAATCGTCATCATTTGCTCCTTTGTCTCGAGTGCGACGGCGTCCCTTTCTTAAACCTTCATTCTTCTCCTCTGTTTTTACATCTTCTTTCTCTTCCTCTTTTTCGAGATCTTCTTCAGTTTCCTTCTCTGTTGGATCTTGTTCCTTTTCCGTTTCTTCCTTCTCGAAGATGGGGAGAGACCTTATGGCTGCCTCGATATTGTCTTCGTCACCAAAATCAGCGAAGTCATCCTCTTCTTCAACGGCGTCCTCGTCTACAAGGTCCGAAGGGATTCGAAAACCGTTACTATTTTGCGAATCAAAAAGTATTGATTCTCTTGGGTTCGAATTTTCTTGAGGAAAAAATCTGGCCTCATTGCCACTCAAACTACCTCGCCTCTTGTACATGATATTGAACTGTGTGCCTTTTCTGTTGCCGAAACGTCAACAATGTTATAAGTGTTTACAATCTGTTCGTTGTTCGAATGCTCCTCGGATGAACGGATGAACTTCCCTCAATAACGCGAGAACGCGAAATATTGTTTCATTGAGAGCACAAGGCGAGTCAGTTCCATTCATGACAGTTCCTCTGAGTGGGCTTCGAGTACTCGTACCGGTACTACTGGTACGAGTATGTACACGTGAGCTGAGTGCATACGATAGAAGCAGCAACAATTTCGAAACATACCGGTACTTAGCTTCAAAATCGTTGCTAGGCAATTGCTAGGCAATTCAAATAATGACTGGTACTATTGAAAAAGACATAAATACAGAGCCTAGGTGACCTGTGAGAGGACGTACCACTCAAAAGATGAACTCGCTGAAAGTATTTTCATGCATACTGTATTCTTACTACAGTACCGTGCTGTTGATAAAAACCTTCACAATTGCACCGTCCGTTACCTTAATTGATTACGATACGGCTCTGAACCGAACTAAGGACATGCAATACAGTACTGTACCTGGTACGTACGCGTTCATCGGAACTAAAAAGTAGGGCGTAGAAATACTACGCGTTGCGGTCCGGTCCCGGGGACTCACGATTGACTCAGAGCGACTAGACAGACACCAGGGACGTTTCCGGCCACGATTTTTCTACTGGGCCCTCCGGAACCAACGCGCGCGCGTCCCCCCTTTGAAATCTAATATCGGGGGTATGATTTGTGTTTTTTTTTTTCCAAAAAATAACCCATATTTTAAAACGTGGGTTCCTGGGTTCCTGGGTTAACCCACAAATAACCCACAAAATAACCCATGAATAACCCAAAAAAAACCCACAAACCTGCTGGGCCTTTCTCCAAATATTAAAAACAGTGATTAAATAACRTTAATGACTAAAATACTTAACACCCTTGGTTCTCCATCAACCCAGATGACTGTAAATTCGTGGGTTATTCGTGGGTTCTTTCGTGGGTTATTTGAGGGTTCCTGGGTTCTTTCGTGGGTTATTTTTCAAATTAAAAAACCCGCGTTTTAGAAACATGGGTTATTTTTCACCAAAAATAACCCACATTTTTCTAGGGGAGGAATTCGAAAAGGGGGATGTGCGCGTGGGTACCGGAGGGCCCTGGAGAGCGAAATTCTGGCTGGTTTTGGATGGTCCCCACACAAACACTAACAAAACTGTCAGGGTCATTTTTACAGTTAAAAAAAATTGTTTCAAATTATTTAATTTATTGCTGGTCCCAGAATCTTTTTATTAGTGGTCCTTTCTTGCAGCACCAACAGAACCCCCTTACCCAGCAGTTTGCAGTGTTCACTACTACTACATCCCCACTAGTATGTAGTAATAGAGGTTTTCCAGTAGCAAGCACTAATAGTTATTCTCAAGCAATGAATTTACCTCTCCAGTACTAGTAAGGACCGCTGCTAATAGAAATATTTTTGGGCTTGGCAGTGTGTGGATGGGGGGGAGAGGGGAAACTGAAAAAAAATGTTGTCAAACAAAACGTCCCTGGTGTCTATTGTTTAGTTGATCTGTATTTTCTTACCATAGGTCCGCAGGATTCATGGGTAGTTCATGAATGGTCCTCCTCAGTAGTACTGGTCCTACACAACTGGCCTCAGTGCCGAGCCTCTGTACTGGTTGCACTACATTTCAAATGTTTGTAAGTTACTACACATAAAATAACAATTGTGATTGTATTTGTGTCATGGAATTTATTTATCACAATGGTGTAGTCTCGAACTTTAAATCGCGGATTAGAACGTATGATGTCATCTTCAGAGATTAATGTCAAGGACAGTGTTGGGGAATAAATACAACGGACACAAGCATATCCATTCTCATTGACAGCAGGGACATGAATGTATCATTCACCATGGGGATATACTCCTTCTGTAGAATTTATGGTGCCAACAAGTTTGAGCTGACACCAAAAATATTTTTTGTATGGTTTGTAGTTGTGGATGACATCAATTAGATTTGTGCATGTGATATCTGCACTGGTGTCAAATTGTGCTCTGACTGTCAAAGAGATATTGGAAGTGTATACCTTTGGTGGCAGTGGGATATTCAAGATGGCTTCTGCTGGGTTTATGTCGATGATGTTTAGAGCAGATTTGTCGTAGGGTTTCTAGGGTGTAGTATCAGGACCCTTTTCTGTTTTTGGCATAAATGAATGATGTGGATATGTTGGTGTTTGACAGAAGAGGATGAAATTTTGGCAGAGGAGGTTGGATTGTTGTAGAATGGGACAGTGTTCAAAATTATGCTGGGAAGTTTGACTGGTCATCATGTCACATACAAGGCATGGTCAGTTGAATGATGCTAGGTTGGCTTTGATTTGATTAATTGACATGGAGTACCCAAAGCTTAATTGGTCTTCATCAATACCACCAGTAGTTTGGACTTGATTTATCAAGATAGGTTTCATGTCAATCATGAGGATCCAAGGGATCAAGTGAGTCATGAATGTAAAGTGTGTATGAATCATAGGTATGTGTCATATTTATGAGTCATAGATATGAATCATACCCACAATCTGATATCCTATGGACAGCAATCCTATGGATCCACAAGATTGACTTGACTCGTTTGATTCACTTGCATGACTGCCTTGACTCATTTGATTCACACATCACTCGATCCTCATTCTGATCATCTTTAGTCTCATAGTTTGTCAATCCTCGATGAGAGCATCAATTCACTTTTCTTCTAGCACTCGATTTACATCACTATTAGATAGTCACTCCCACAGGTTATGACACCCTTCCAAAAAAAATCACCACCACCATGGTGATCTTTTTTACGTGTGCTCTCTCCTCACACAACTCTACCACATACAACCGCCCACAAGCCCTTGAACAACAAACTGTCATTGCACATACAAAGCGACAACTCCTCAAACACATCAACACTCATTGATTGAAACACAACAAAATTGATTGTTTCATCATACTCACCATCATTGATGCTTCACCTATTGTAGGCTATTGTTGCAAAATCAAAATCTTGACTCAAGACACACATTTACACATTCTTGCTTTTTGAAAGCATTTGGCATTAACACTCCCATCATAATTTTTAACTCCCACACGCTTGTTAAAAATTAAATCCCACACTCGTGCAACTGTGCATCTATTTTTTTCCTACACTCAAAATGTGACCATCTCACTTTGCGAGACCAACACATGTCGACGTAACCCTTCTTTCACAACAATTTCTTAAAGCTTCTCATGAAAACTGATAGTTTTTGAGAAAAACAATAATTTATTGCTTCAAGACAATCATCCCATAAAACATATTTTGATTCAAATCAAAATATCTTTTATTTCAAACTGTCTTTCTCATCCAGACCTTCAAGACTACAAGACTACCGTTCACCATGCCAACAAGAAGCGGATCTAAATCACCTTCTGGTGCCAATGCCCATCCTTTCCACCCAAAAGTTGATGTCATTTTCCTTGATCATCAACTTCATCCCAACTTGACTGCTGAAATGAACAATGCTTACTGCTTGTCTCTCAACTTTGAAAATCTTGTCAACCMAGCCAGAGATGCTTTTGACAATCAGCACATGACCATTTTGTACATCAAAACTAAGATTATCAATAAAATCAAGCAAAATGCAGTCAACACCACCAACATCACCTGCATTGACACTATCATTGACTGCAAAACCTCACTTATGGTAACTGTTTCAAAGGGCACACTTATCAAACACAGAAGTGACATCCGCCTTTTCATCCGTGCTCTTGACTTTGTCCCCAAATCCGACAACAAAAATACTCTTGTTCTTGACATTAACTGGTCTCCCCTTTCATTGATGAGAGACCCACTTTCAATGGACTCATACAACTTAGACATTTTCTCAGAAACCCCTTTCCCCCCTCCGGTCAACCCCACCAATCAAACCCATACCACCAATACAACTCAACCAACCCCCTGTTGATCCCAACATTGTTCGTCTCTTTACTGAGAATAGAAACATGATGCAACAACAGGCCACAATGATGCAGCATCTTGCCCCAAAAGCCAAAACTTACAGTCTGACCATCACTCTGTTTGTCCCAATGAACTACCCTGGCCAGGTTAAAGATTGTTACAAGCTCAACATGACCCAGTATAAATACCATACTTCCAATACTTTGCCAGACATAGTCAACACATCTTCCAATCCAGATGCGCTCTGTCAATACCACAAAGACCCATAAAGCCCGGCAACTGGATTTGTCACTTGGGAAGGCTCATACTTCTTTCTTGTTGACCTCAGACTGCAAAGCAAATAGAACTTCTGCACAACAGCAAACAAAATCACAGGCAACACAGCATATGAACTTTACAATTGGTACATATGCTTCACAGCTCATTGTTTGCAATTTGGAAAATATTTTCACCCTTACCCATGCTTCTGTCCCAAAAATAACCACCTGCGTGGATTCACCTTAGATAACCAAGAAGATGACCTTCACCCAACCTTTGAGACAAAAATATCAACTGACTCTTGAGTCATCTGATGGTCATGGATACAAAGCTTTAAGGGCAATCATCTGCAACACTCACCAACTCCTGATTGAATCTCCATCCATGTTAGTTACAACTTGCCCTACTCAAGGAGCTCTCTCCCTCATGGAATACTGGAAGAAATACAACCACTACGACATCATGATTTGAGCATTAATTGAAGGCAATAAACAAACCATATATGACAGAAAAGCCCTTCCTCTTCTCCGTTCACACCAGCCCCCATCTTCCATATGCTTAATGCTTCCCATATAATGCATATGCAATTATCACACATGATATATCAGATCATCTGCCGTCAAATACCATAACAACAACACCAAAATATCCACATCATGCTTTTACACCAAAAATTGAAAAAGGTCCTGATACACCCTACAAACCTTTTGAGAAATCTGAAGTAAAAATCATTGATGTAAATTCATTGCAAGACATACCAAACATACCGCTACCACCAAAGATATACACCATGAACATTTCTTTGACAGTCAGAACACAAATTGACACTGGTGCTGATATTACATGCACAAATTTGATTGACATCATTCACAATTACAAACCATACACCAAAGAATTTCCATGTCAGCTCAAACTTGTCAGCGCAATAGACTCTACAGATGGAGTATATCCCCATGGCAAAGGATATATTTATGTCCCTGCTGTAAATGAAAAAGGATATGTCTGGCGCTTCCCATATAATGCATATGCAATTTATCCTGTCCAGTGACATCACACATGATACGTCACATCATCCGCCATCAAATACCATAACAACACCAAAATATCAACATCATGCTTTTACAAGAGACAAAAGTGCACACAAAATTTAAGAGAAGTGTTTTGCATCAAATTCTGAATAAAAGTCTTGATTTTGTCATCCACCAACCCAAGAGCCCAATGATGCAGAAGCTACTACTATGAAAAACTTTACACCATTTGTTACTGGAAGCTCGGAAAATATCAGACTCTATGTGAAGTTGAATTTTCAAAAGGACAAGGACTAAGAAAGTGCATTCAGCCAGATTATTGCTGCTTTTGTTCTAAGACTTCATGAAAATGTGTATGTTCACCTCATGAATTAAGAAAAAGAGACTCCAGAGGAAGATTAATTGGTTGTCGCTACAACAAATTGAAGACCTGTAATGAAAGACTGAAAGAAGCAAATGGAGCCATGTATACATTCAAGTCTATGAAGAAAATAAACAATGTGTTCATTGTGTAAAGCCTACCAGGGACTACAGAGCTCAATGTCATTCTACTCAGACACAAAAAATAATTACTAATACAATGGTGGTTAATTTTGAAGCACAGCATTTTCTAGTAAAAAAAGTTTTTCAACCACAAACAATGTAATTGGACAATTACAACTGCTCTGTTATGGCCCAAGAGCAGCTAGCCCTTGGGAAAAAGCTTGCCAATAGTGTTAGCAAGAGTACCCTGCTGTGTCATTGTTACACAATTCTGAGGCCACCCCCTGCTACTAGTACTAGTAGTACTAGGTGGTGGAGCTGGTTAGCCAGTATGGCCAAAATTGGCAGATTTCTGAGACCGGCTGCTGGTTAGATAGTGAGCTAGAACTTCAAAACAACTTTAGACTAAGCCCCCAGTCCAAGTTGATAGAATTACCTAAAGATTGTTGTCACTGGAAAGCTATCATTGGATAGCTATAGGATGCTCTAGCGGCTTAAACTACTAGTAGTCTACGGAAGTTGCACCTGTGGGTGGCAGAAAATCGCGTGTTTATTTTGGCTTTACAGTAATCGTACTCCGAATTACGATCTGGAAGTCACAAACAAAAACTGAAAAACCAAAAACCGTTCTGATTTACAAGAGTAGTATTCAATCACTATGTCTTCGTTCATGGACGACGGCTGGGGCGACGACGAAGACCTCAATATCAGTGATAGTATTGCAGACAGCGGTGACGGACTTGTGGACGACGGAAATATCGAACCGACTGCTAACAGAATAGGTGATGGATGGGGAGATGACGATGACTTTTTCAACGATGACAGTACCGACGAAGGTCTCCCTCCCGCTGTTCCTGCAGCACCGTCTACAGAGTCAATGACAGTCCCTGTGACATCTTTTGACACCAATATGGATCCGAAAGGAAACGAAAAAGAAGCTTTGGGAGCCACATCCACTCAAGGTTTCCAAAACCGAAACATCATTCCACCAACACCGCACCACGCGCAAACAGAAACCAACCAAAATCCACAACATTCCCAGACCTTGACCGAGCTTTCGCACTACGTCGCTTCTCTGGAGAGAATCCTTTCTTCAATAAACGCCGTTTTGGAGTTCGAATACAACACTTTTCAAAAGGCGGAGGAGCTGGTTGAATACTACCGAAGCAGACCACAGCTTGCAGAATACACTAGAACCAAAGAACTCGAAAGGATGAACTACGAGATTGTCTTACCCAACGGGCACGTCGAGACCAATAAAGACAAAATTGTTATCGATGATCTATTGCCAGACCATGCGATTGTTTCGCGTGCAGCTAACCAGTCATTACTGGCTGATCTTTTGCAAGTCATCACCGGTCATGATCTGATTGTAAGGCCACAATATTTTACGGTTTGCGTTGCTACGTGGTGCAAATTCACGATCCACAAAGGGGATAACGGAGCAGACATCATCGATTGTCGAGCAAAGTTGTCTCTATCGTTGCCCACGGAAGAAGGAGATCGCTTGCTTATCGCCGAGGTCGATGTTTGTGTTCTGTTTTCTCCCGGCCAACCAATGGTAGAATTCACGGTTCGAGGAATCAATGTTCTTTTGAAAGATTATTCGAAACTTGCTGGAGTTGCTGAATTTCTGAAAGCGATCGAAGGTAGTAACGAAGATGACGAACTCCTGACGAACGCATCGCCCGATATGTACCGCGATGCGTTCCTGGAAAGATCCCAACGTTTATTTTCTTTATCCTCGGAAGGTATGATGTCTGCTTTCCAGCAAGTAGATTCCGTTGTCAATATAAAAGGAAAGCTGAAGAAAATTTCCAGCTTTATACCAGATACAGACCAGCTACTGCAGGCAGAGCAAGAAGCGATAGCCTTTGCGGAAGCCAGAAAAGAAGAACTGCAGAAACACCAACATTCAGTGGCTTCGTTAGGTCGTCCTACACCACCGCCCCCTAGAACATCTAATACTCAATTTGATCAACCGTATGAAAACGCAACGCATGGGAAGGATGCAGAACGACCAAAATCGATCCTTGGTGGCCTTGTCCGGAGTGGATGGAAAACTTTAGCAAACTCAGTGACTCTTCCCGACGACGATCCCTTGATTTACGGTGAACCTGCGCCACCTCCACCGCCTAAGGTTCCTCTCTACAACAAACCAATCGAATCTGCACACATGCACAGAAAAGAAGTAATTGTGGAAACTGTGACGTCGAACCTGCTCTGCACCAAAGGCGATACACGTCTACAAGACGGAAATTTTCAGAAGCAAAACAATCCTAGCAAATTGAAGGCACCACACATAGATCACAATCGGGAAGGGCATTCAGACAAGGCTTCCGAAGACAATGGTTTTCACGAAGATAACGAAAAGGGAATTCCTGATAACAATTCAGCTGGACTGCATCAACAACCTCCTGTATCGGTTGAAAGTACGAAAATCAAAATCACGGATATTCAATGTAGTGATAACGAGGCAGAACAGTGTACTAAAGGTGAAAAACCCACAAGGTTCGATGAAGAGACGAACAAGTTAGAGCCAGATAATAGTTCCGACGGTGATGGTTGGGATGATTTCGGTTTTGATGATAGCTCATACGACGTAGACAATGGCAACGTTGGAGATGACCATGATCTCTCAAAGAGCTCAACAATGCAAGAACAAGAAGTACAAACATTTGTTCCTCCCCCGGATGAAACGAAAGTCGATCCACTGCCGGTGGCTACTATGGTCGATGAGAATAGGGAGCGAGGCGACGGTAACATTGAAACTAGAAAACGATGGGTGAATCCAAGGCCATACCGACCCTACATAAAGGGCTAGACTCTTGACAGTATTGTAAATGTGATGAGATGAAATCGATTTGAATTCGTGATCGAATACTTTGGCTATTTCCTTGTAGATATCTCAGCGCTCTTGGCCTGAACAATGATTTAAATTCGTGGATAGTTTCGATATACTCTTCTTCCGATGTGCTTGTTGCATAATTCAATTCATCACTCAAGATCGACTATGTTAGGAAAACTAAGGCAAGTGGCGTTTTTCGTTTTTCTAATATTGTCTACTTCCGCCACTGATTTCAGACCGAAGCCTGTATCTTGCACCATTCATCTGTACACCGGTCAACGCATTTGTTTCACCAAAGGGTACGCAATACGGTGCAGCGCAGAGTCTCCGTTGTCCGCTATATTTTTCAAGGCCTACTGTTACAGTCATAAAGCCATTCAGCTTATATCAAAACACACTGCATCAAGTTTTCTATAATTTTTAATTCACGTCGTCCATGCTTTGCAGCTCCTGATTCATACCAGTTATTTTCTCGCTCATAATTTCTCGAGCGCAGTACACGACGTCCAGTTCAAGTGAGTTCGTCAAACAATTCAGCGAAGATTACAATCTCCGCATGATCCACCTCCGGAAGAGGACTTTCTCTTGTCACCAGTTCACATAGTATGAAGCTCACGAGCACAACTCCTTTTGTGCTCGCGAGTTCATCGAATTTTAATTCGTCAGTTCTTTGGTGCCTTCTTTCTATATCTGTGGCACGTGGGTCGGTTTACCAATGAATCACATCGAAGAGACGTCTGCTGCGTGAACTGAAACGACTTGTGTAAATAAAGCTTAACCATTGATACAACCAACATCAAACACCATAGACTGTCGATTCCACTTTGTCGGAGGAACAAAATTCTGTTTGGTAAGTGGTGCCCATGTTTCTATTGTTGCCTTTTTGCAATCACTTGATTGATTTTGATTAAGTGTGCTCGAATCAGAAATTGTCGTTTGGCGAGCTTCCGAATCATTTTAAGATGGGTAGTGCAATCAAGTTGTCCCATGTACATGCCTCTATCTAAGAAGTACATGGCATCTGTCAGAGCGGCACTTTCCGCCGATAGATCTAGCATTTGTGCATCCAATTTGTTGACCGGTTGGCAGATATCATCAACTTCCAGCTCCTCGTCCGTAACTTTTTTGCTCTCAGCTAACCAATTTTTGATTTCTTCCGTCTTGATATCGACGGTATCGATATGCTCTTTCAACGTTTTCTTCCTTTCAATCAACTCTTTTATTTCTTTTTGCATATATTCCCTACTTTCTTTCAGATACTCTTGATCTCTCCAATCGGCTGAGAGAGCACTTTTCGTGTCTTCGGAAAAACTTATGAGATAGGATTTAATTTTTCGGTTCACGTCTGTTTTGATTTGCTCGAGTTTCTTTTCTTCCCATTTCCGTTGGGCGGCAATTTGTTCCCCACGTCGCCTCTCATCCTCTTCTGCTCTGCGAGCTATTTCCGACGCGCGATTGGCATCTTCTGCTTCCTTGGCCATGATGGCTGCAATCTGTTCCTGCATGTATCGGTCCTGATTGACTCCATTCCTAAGGGCATGKGGGGGCTTTGTTCTCGCTGCTGCTGCCGATGATGATGCCTGGGAATAGGTGTCACTATTGTTGTTTTTGTTTTTGCTGCTACTGGAACTGGCACTTGTTACATAGCTCGAGTAGGCCGGTGGCGGTGGCGGTGCGGGAGCACGTGTGAAGACTGGCGGATCCGCGGAGAAGACGCTGCTCATGGCTACGACCATTTCTATCAGGCTGTGCGTCCGTGCATTCCATTCGTTTGTATAGGGAAGGTAGACCATGCCATCGCTTCCTACATGATCGTGTTTTTCTTTCAGGTACTGCGAGTGTAGGTTTGTGTTCAAAAGAACGCGTCGACAAAACAACAAGAAACGATCGAAATGAGCACGGACGATTCGATACGTTGTGACACGCAATCGGTTTAAATTGGATTCGATTCGATTCGTATCCATCCGATTCGATTCAAAAATAGAAGGGTTAGGTATGCGCGTCACTTTCAGTTTGAATCATAGAGCAAACACCGCCGCGGCAAATACGGAAACCATCCGAGAAAGTCGGAAAAGAAAAGCAACCGACATGCCTGCTGTACAATGCCTGCACGCACCATGTTCTCTGCGAGCCGAACATACGAGATAGGAGGTCGGATCGGATATCCCGCTGGAAGATAGATGTCCACCAGAAGCTGATAAGTGTTTCCCCTATACACTATGGCTATCGTTCCCTGAAGCACTAGGCAATGAAAAGAATCGCCATTGTTTTCGACCAGGGGAGCAATCCCGGGCGTCAAATGAATCCCGACTGAGCTCTTCAAAAGACTTGAAGCATCGCGATCGACTCGATTGGGATCTCTATACAGACCACCTAGACGGCCAAGAAGTGTCGTTACTCTGGGATCATTTACCATGGTCACTATTAATGTTGTTGTTGTGTGATGCTAGTTTTGGAATTCCTGCATCAAAAGTAAGTCGTACTCGTAGTACCGGTACCATGCACACGTTCTTGTACCGTTACGTTACGTTAGACACCTTCATTACCGCACGAGTGACTCGTATTACCGGTACCGTACCATAATGCGGTAGTACTCGCACTAACACCCTTCTCTCCTTCGTCGCTACGTACAGTACGTACCTTTACTGCTCCGTACGTTGTTCGTAGTTTCCGTTTCGATTATTTGATTCACGGACAATCGAGTCGTGTCAGTTGAGAAAAAATAAAAATATAATGCACGCGGATAGTTTTACTGTACATACCAGTCTTGTGGTACCGCAGAGCACGAAGATTGAGAATTCCGAGTTCGAGAACAGTCCACACACATGAGTCGTACAGTAAAAGTTACGTACTGGGAAGCTGCGCTCGTAATGCGGTACTGTACTACCGGTATGGTACCCCTCAAATGCAACTAAAGTTGCACTCCCATTATTGGTGCGCCGGCTACGCCCAAATGTACTACATAGGCCCTAACCCCCCAATCAACCGGTACCATACTTGGTACCACTGTTTTTGCAACTGTAATGACTCTTTTGTGTGCAAAATTAACACGCCAAAACGGTACTGCACCTTTTCTTGGGGTTGTTGTTTCTTTGCCTCTGAGGTGCATTTTCATCCGTTGAATTTACACTGTATTGCAATATTTGCAACACCATCCACGATACGAATCATCGAACTGCTCAAGCAAATTGCTGCTTAGTCTTATTCTTATTCTTATTTTTTGTTCCTTCCCCTTTAAAACTTGAGTTTACGGATACTACGTTACAGCACTAACAACGCGATACACCGACTACGTAACAGTAACAATGGCACCACCAGCAAGAACAAGACGTTTAGGAGGAGCAAGGCAGCCACCACCACGCCGCAGACGCAGACTTAGTACTGGTGTAGGCGGCGAACAAGCGAATGAACGGAATGAAGCAAATGAAGCAAATGCGCCGAATGAAGCACCGAATGAAGCACCGAATGAAGCACCGAATGAAGCAAATGAAGCGACGAATGAAGCGCCGAATGAAGCAAATGAAGCGACGAATGAAGCGACGAATGAAGCGCCGAATGAACCGAATGAAGCGCCGAATGAAGCAAATGAANAATGAAGCGCCGAATGAAGCAAATGAAGCGACGAATGAAGCGACGAATGAAGCGCCGAATGAACCGAATGAAGCGCCGAATGAAGCAAATGAAGCAAATGAAGCGCCGAATGAAGCAAATGACGAAGGAGGCTTATCAGAGCTCCTCGCCCTTATGGCAGAGGAAGTTGTTGCGGAGGATGTCGACGACGACGACGACGATGACGCGAATCAAAGACCAAGAAAAGGAACTGCTAGACTTCCATCAGGAGTGAATGTTTGTAAACAGTGGAAAAAATATCTCAAATATTTCCTTGATTTCACGGATTATGTGCATGGGAGGAGAGATGGTTATTATGACACTCCAAGGACTGCTGATACAAGATTTCATTGGGATCATGTGTTTAGCCCTGAGGATTTYGYRSATATTACCCCCAAACATGTGTATCRATTTTTGGCACTTAAGTGCTATAGAAAAGAGGATCCTGGCCCAGATGATAATCCTATATTTGAAAGGTCTACAACTATTGGTTATGCAAAGAAGGGGATATCCTATTATCTACCCAACAAGACTATCAAGTGGACTGTGATTCAAGGTGTAKGSCATGGYAATCCAAYGCAGTCKCAAGAGGTGAATAATCTYATTGCAGCGGTCAAGTTGAAGGAAACTAGAGGGCTTGGGGCTCCCTCAAAGATGGATAGACCGTTGACTAAGAGCRAATTTTTGCAGGCAGTTGACCTTATATCACAGGAGGCTGGTACTGACATAGATAAGAAGAGATATTTAGCAATGATGTTGACACAGATGCATTTCATGGCTCGCAATGATGATATGGCTCATATCACTAAGGATTCCTTGAAGAGTTGCCCTCAGTTTCCTGATTTTCTGACACTGAAAATGAAGTGGTCCAAAAATGTGAGGGAGGACCGCGACTGCCCTGATCAGATACTATTGGGTTCTATGGATGAAAAAACATGTGCTGTCCTAGCTTTAGCATTGTTTTTGGAGAAATGGTGCTATGATGGTGAGGGGGCAGTTAGTCAGTGGCTTTTTACCGAAGGATTTAGTGATAAGAGATCTCCAATGAAGATTATGGATAAGGAAGTTAACAGAGGAAAACAGCAGTATTCTAGATTTCTAAATACTCGCGTGTGGAAAAACCGACGGTTCAACAAAGAGAGACCCGGTAGGCTGGGTACGCACTCTATCAGAAAGTATGCAGTATCATTGTGCAGGCATTGTGGACTCCATAAGGACGATGTTGATTATAGAGCTCGATGGAAAGGACAAAGAAGGCAACAAGATAGGTACACGGACACGCAGCTATTATGGCCTGATATTAAAGTTGCAAAGCGAATGTGTAACGGCRGTGTTTGTTTGTACAAGATAGTGGAGGGGTCTGGGGTCACACATCAATGGATTGTTGAAAATGTTACTCCTAATATTGCGAGTGCTTTTGGTGATGATGTAGCAGTAATCCTAGGCAAGGCATTGCTGTKGGCATGCTTTCAACCTTCTATGGTGGGTATTGTTCCAGATGATATCAGAAGAAATGTAATTGCTTCATTTCTTCATCTGAACAATAGAGTGAGAGMAAATGGTGGGGCTGGTATTGCTATTGAAGATAGGAAYTCAAACCCAATTCGCAAGGTTGAAGTGATTCCCAATGAATTAGGCGGACAAGTCACCTTTGATGAGCTGTTTGAACCTGAGCTAGATGAACAAGGTGCTGCTGCTGCTG